TGGCAATATAAATGCAAGAACGGGACGGATGTGGGGGGGGGGGTAAAGTATTGCCCTCCCCCCTCATCAATAGCGGGGGAAGGCAAGCGGCAATAAACCAGAACTTAAATTTAGAGATGCTTATATTTATCTTTTGCATAACGTAGCTAGACTTTTCAGAATCGCAATTTGAATGTACCAAAAAGAAATAATTGTCGTAAGATAAAAATGTTGTGGCATGGAAGACCAAATGGTTGTAGCTCATGTGGCATGGAAGGGAAAACTGTTGTGGATTATGGCTGCCCGCCTTCCCCCCCCCCCCCTCTGAACATAAGCTTATGGCGAGTATATATACTGGTGCTATCCATCAATAATATATATTTACTTTATTGAAAGCTTCGAAACATTTCCCTTCTTCTCTCTCCACAAATAACATTTAATAAGGAAATTTCTTAAACTGTCATCTGCAGAAACTTGGAGCAGAAATTAGGAAAACAAATATTAATGTTTTTCTTCAAAGAGGTTTGTCAAGGGGGGGGGCTGGGGGAGGGGGTTGGAAGGGTATTATTTCAAACCATCATTGTCCACATTTTAGTTTGAAAACATGGTTTGAAATATTTAGATTTTGACGTGAGAAATCTGTAGAAAATTAGGTATTTTAGGATTTTGTCCACAGAAAATTTTGATAATAAACTGTTTTTTAAGGATAGGTTGTATTTATAGCCGTAAGGGGGGGGGGGAATGTGAGTCAAGGGGAGGAATGTGAGTATATAGCACACAGGAATTTATTATTTTGTGGGTATTCATCTATATTTTATACTCCAAGGTACTGTATAGTATATAGCACACAGGAACTTATTATTTTGTGGGTAACCATCTATATTTTATACTCCAAGGTGCTGTATAGTATATAGCACACAGGAACTTATTATTTTGTGGGTATTCATCTATATTTTATACTCCAAGGTGCTGTATAGTGTATATATAGCACAGAGCAACTTATTATTGTGAAGCCTCCATAGATTAGATGGTTTAGAGCACATGCTGAGCTGTTCAGTATGTATAAGATGAACATATTGTGCTCATCAAATACCAATATATCTTATCTTATATGTGATCTTCTCACCAAATATTCATGTTTATGTAAACAGTTTCATTTTAAAGGAACTGTAGACGTAATTTCAGCAGTTTTCTAAAATCAAACAATATTAACAATCTGAGGAATAATGTTAACCTTGCAAAGATGACAATGCTTGGTTCTCAAAAGTTTGGTTTTATCGCGTATAAATTAGATATCAATGTTTAGAATTTTGAGAACAGATTATTTTCTATTGTGGTTTCTCTACAAAGACTGGCTTGTGCAAGGTTATAATGCAAGGAAAGTTAATTGCAGTTCCGTATACTCTGCGTAAATATTGAAACCAGTTCTCTCTGGGTGGAATTTGTGAACAAGAATAGATGCATCAGTGTTCGTTTAGTATCCGAAGAGGTTAAAAGCATTAAATTTT